CCCCCCTGTGAGGACAGGCTGGGAGAGTTGGGGGGTTCAGCTGGAGAAGAGAAGGCTCCGGGGAGACCTTAGAGCGGCCCCCCAGGGCTGAAAGGGGCTGCAGGAACGGGGGGAGGGACTCGTCATCAGCAGGAAGGGATAGGATGAGGGGTGATGGTTTTAAACTGTCAGAGGGGAGATTTAGATGAGATCTGAGGCAGGAATTGTTCCCTGTGAGGGGGGTGAGGCCCTGGCACAGGCTGCCCAGAGAAGCTGTGGCTGCCCCCTCCCTGGAAGGGTTCAAGGCCAGGTTGGACGGGGCTTTGGGCAACCTGGGCTGGTGGAAGGTGGCCCTGGCCAGGGCAGGGGGGTGACAGTGAATGATTTTTACGGTCTCTTCCAACCCAAACCAGTCTGTGATTCCATAATTTCTAACAAATAAATGTGTGTCATTCTCAGGTACTTGACTATTTTCCTAACGAGTGCTGTGTTTCATCGCATCAACTCCAGGTCCCCCTGGCAAGAAGATGCTGCTCAAATTGAGATTTCAGGGCCGGGCCTCGCCATGAGCCCGCGTTTGCAGGTGGTGGTCGCTCTGTCAGCGATACGTTCCTCTCTGTTCCTCGCCAGCGCAGGCTCAGACCAGGCGCTGAAGGATCTGTGCAGCAGACTTGCTTTGGGATGTGGTTCACTGCCTGTAACAGCGACGCTTCAGGTTCAGTGGTGATAATTGGGAGTTTATTACAGATCATTGTGCTTTTTTTCTGTGTTCTGGCTGGGTTTTGGCTGGCACGCACAGTGTTGTGAGGCAAGCTGTGTCTGTTTTCTGTAACACTGCAAGGTGGCAGCCTACAGCTTCTGAGGTGGCTGTGGTATAATCAGAAAAACGACTTGTTTTTACAGAAATACATCTGAATGTGGATCTCCTAGTCAGTGCAGTGTCTCCTATGTTATTTGACATTCTGTACGGTTCATTTTTCCCTCACTTTTCATCGTGCTGCCGGTCAGTCCTGCAGAAGTTGTTGAAGAGGAATGGAGATGCCTTGGGTGGTTTTGTAGAGCAGTTTTCTGGGCACCTGAAGTACCTGGAGAGGCTGTAGGACATTCTGGGTGACGTGACAGGTCCAGACGTGGGCTGTGCTGTCTGAATTCTGCACTCGGGGCTAATTCAGGGCTGTCAGGACAAAACTGAGCTAGCAAGAAGCGAGGGCAAAAGCAGGCATGTGTGGAAACACGGACGGAATGCCAGACCCCTTCTGGCCAAGAGGCTGCTCTAGAAGCAGCAACTGGAGCTGGTTGGTGTGAGAAGCACTTCTCACCGGTGGTTATTTTTCTGACATCCTCCATTTTGTCACTTCAAGATCTGTTGGTATTAGAACTGTTCAGAGAAAGGATGGCAAGAATTCTCATGTACAGAGGAACAAACATTCATGTTATTTTTTTGTAAAAGTAGCTCAACAGAAATTCACCAAAAGCCTTGTCTTAGCAATTTCTACATATGATTCAAATAGAAAGTGTTGAGTAAACAGCTTGTGAAGCATCTGACTGCATTTCTTTTTTTTTTTTTTTTTTTTTTTTTTTTTTTTTTTTTTTTTTTTTTTTTTTTTTAGTGTGACCAGTATGCTGCTTTTAGTACTTTCGGTTGTTAGAAGCCTGTGAAGGGTGTTGGAGTGAGCAGGGGAGTGAAGCCATGACGGTACCAGCTGCATGTGAGAGTACAGCAGTGTGACACTCCCCGAGTTTGGAGCTGTGTCAGCCTTTTGTCACCTTCTCCCTTTAACTCTTTTCTCATCTGTGTGCATGAATTGCAGGACATGAGCTTAGTGTGAAGCGGACAAGTGGCTGAGTCAGCTCAGGATGGTCCCCCAAGCAAGGTGTGAGAACAGAGGGAAGGGGAAATACCAAAGGCAGGGCTCGGAGCCAGGCACTCAGCTGCAAGCTGTGGTGCAGCCTTGCTCTCCGACTGCCCTGCATCACCTAGAGTCCCCAGAGGAAGAGGTTGGGTCTCCCCTGAACTCCAAGGGCTGGTTTAGGGGGTGGTAATAAGTGTTTGGAAGTTATCTCTTAGTGGCCACTGTCTGAGGAGAAGGAGCATGAGGCAGAACAGTGCAGGGAGCGAGTGGATGCTGTGGATTCCAGCTGGGGAAAGCAGAGAGCCCGAAAATGTTTTTTCCCCCACAATCTTGCCTTTTATTTTATCATCCCTTTATCTTTCCAGTTTACTAAGGGAGCAAAGAAGGTAAATGGGGAGAAAAGAGAAGCAGCCCTCCAGCACTACAGATAACGCAGGGTGTTTTTGAAGTACCAAGGCCTGGATGAAGCTAACTGAAACAAAGTACACATTTTAAAGCTTTTTTCAAGATCTCTACAGAAAAGGAATATTTTAGTGTTAAAGAGGAAAGAGTAAAAAAATGGGAACAGTTGTTACAGAGTTAGAATAAAAGGAAGAGGCTAAGCTGTTTTGTTACGCCTCAGCACGTGACTTTGCTGTATATATTAAGAAAATACCAAAAAAAAATTTGTTTGAGGTAGGGTGTGGGTTTTTTTTTTGTTTTGTTTTGTTTTGGTGTTTTTTGGTTTTTTTTTTCCAGGAGGTTCTGTGCCTGTAGAGAGCTTGGCAACGTGAAGGGGACTGCAAGTACCTTCGTGCTTCTCTCAGCCCTCCAGCTTTGCACTGTGTCTGGTTTTGGGCAGCCTTGGAGATATGTATGTTAGGAAAGGAAAGGTCCCGTTGTGCTCTGGCTTTGGCCCCCGTTGTGCTCTGGCTTTGGCCCCCGTTGTGCTCTGGCTTTGGCGGTGCTGAGTCAGTGACCCTGCGGGTGGGAACGCTGGTGGTGCCATCTGAAGACTTCAGGTCTGCAGCACAAATCTGCGCCATCGCCTCTCCCTCGGCAGCAGAATAGGAAGGGGCTGGATCACCAGCTCTCACAGCTGGGAGGGAACACACCAGAGCAAAGCTCCTGAGGTCTCCCTCTTTGTGGAAAAACTCTTTCAGAGTTCAAGAGAGCCTGAGTCTGAAAAATCCTAGTTTAAGAAGAAGGGGTTCCCTGAGGATCTCTGCTCTGTTTCTGAAATCTGGCACTGCCCTTTTTTACCTCTGTTCTCTAAAGGAAATACCCTCCTTTGTGATCCTTAATTGTCATGTAGGGAGGATCTGTAAAGCCTGGCAGAGCCCTTTGGCTGCTGTCACAGTTTTTTTTTCAGTTAATCAGTTATTGAGGTATGGCCACATTGCAGTCTTCAGGGGTGAGTGACTGTTGCTGCTGAAAGCTTGCTGGAAGCATAGAGCTGATGAAAGATTAGAGGAAATACTCTGTATTCATCAAAGAAATTTTACTAGGTGGATTTTCAGAGGCTTTTTGTATGAAGGGTGAGCTTATCCATGAAAATGTACGGCTCAGCCCTGAAGGTCTAAGACTGAAATCAGTGAAAGCTGAGGTTATCATTCCTCCTTCATGGCTGAAGGCGCTTAGCTGTTCATTTAGCCCCATGTGGAAACAATCCATTTGCTCTCTATAAAGATGACATTTGTATTTCTCCAAGATGCAGAAGTGAGTCTTCTATTTTATGATAACTTGTCACCACGGAATCCCTGCGAGCATGTGGAGAAGGAGAATGGGAAGTGGGAAGGTTTCGAGGCAGCCTGGTGTGCTTCACAGAGATGATCTCTGAGACCAGATGATCTGAGGAGCTTTTACTAAAGCTTCTGGGACGAGATGTGTGTGACTCCTCTGAACGTAGATGAAGGTACCCGGTATTTGCTTTTTTTTGAAGATGATGTTTCACTGGCTCCAATGCCTTATAGTAAGAATAAACTGATTTTTTTGGGTGCTGATACAATTTCTCAAACACTTAAGGGAATTTTTCCCTGTGCAAGTATCTGAAGAACCTTGGTTACTTGTGGAAAAAGTTCCTGAGTGTGTTATTGTCTTGGGCACAGTAGAGGTGATGGGTCATACTGATTCTCCGAGGGGCATGACGAGAGGTGCTGAAACAAGCCGTTCCTCGGGCTGCAGCGAGCCAGCATTCTTTCATGTTCCCGTGAGCTGCACCCCAAGAGTGATCGCCCCTTGTACGTTTATAGTCAACTTCAGTGATGTAGATGAATTCTTGGAAAGCTTGGGAGACTCACCTTTCTTGCAGGCTAGTTGCCCAGAAAAGCCTCCTTTTGGACCAAATTAAAAAGTATTTCGCTATGGCCAAGACAGCGCCAGGCACTGTGATGTGTTGATGAAAATCAGGAAGAGGGTGGTGGTTGCAGGGGCCTCCCTGCAAGCAAAATGTAATTTTGGGACTATTGTATTTCCCTTGTAGTCGTTGCTTAGCTTCAGGTAGAGGTGGGAGGGTGGTTTCTTCAAGATTCTCTCTTGGAGTTAGCTGCTTTGAGCCACTATGCTCTTGGGGGGAAGATCAGCTGAAAGTTAGAACAGGAATGGCTGCCAAGAATTGGTGTCAGATTGTGGCAAACATATATAATCTCTTTTCCCATTTTTCCCATTCTTTGTTCTTGTTCAGTTTCTGAACGCAGCAGAACATGTGGACATTTCTACAGCCACAAAGCCCGTCCAGCCCCATCCTCTGCTGCGACTCTGAAATCCGGACCCCCTACAAGGCAACTGCATGGCTCAGGATGTTCAGGCATGAGTATTTCAAACAGAAATACTTTTTTTTTTTTTTCTTTTATGTCTCAGATGTCAAAGAAATGGTGTGGCTGCTCTTTTTTCTGTCAAGCAGAGAGCAGGGAACTGAGAGGTGGACTTTCCCCTCAGCCAGTCTGAAAAAGGAGGTTGAGGAATCCCAATGACTCTGAACCATCCTGCAATCCATATGTCCTTTCAGGCCCACAGCGGCTTGTGGTGCTGAGCTCGCCCTGGCCACAGGCAAGGTCTGTGTTGGGGTTGTGTGTCCGTAGTCGGTTGCTCTGGGCTCACAAATCACAACGCTCAGCCCCAGAAAATTCAAACTGTTGAGAGACAGCCTGCCTATGGAGTTTGTGAGGCACATAAAGTGATGACGGAGGCTGCTGCCACAGCAGGTATGAAACATGTAGGAAGCAGAAATGGAAACCCTCGGAGAATGCTGAATCCAGCTTCCCCCTGGAAAACAGGCTATTTGCTGTAAACAGAAATAGGAAGAAACCCCGTTTATTCCAGCGTAGGTAACATTGCTATTTAAAGCAGAACTAAACCCAAAGTGCTGGGATGGATTTGGGAAGCAGAGCTTCCTGCAGCGCCCAGCGAGGCGTGAGGCTGCTCTCAGCGCTGTGCCAAGGCTGTTTTCAACCCTCTGGGGTCTGTGTCCTGCAAAGAGGCACTGCTCTGGCTTAATTCTTAAAAGAACTTTCCTCTTCCTCTGCTAGGTTCTCCTGAAAAAAAAGAATGTTGAGGTTAGTACAGCATATTCTGCTTAAATGGTTATTTTGTTGGTGTGCTGGTGGTACAGCATCTAGTGTTTACAATTTTAAGAAATATATACAGGAACAGTGGAACTGTTTGGACCTCCAGAGGGTGAAGATTTCTTTTTTTCGGTGAAATTCTCAGCTGCAGGCCCCCGGGGAGGCAGTGGGAGAAGTAGGTTCAGAGGGATGAGACACATTTGTGGAGGGTGAGTCCAAGAGGACCTTTAAATCCCCTGGTCTGGATTCAAGCTGTGGCCATCAGCAGAATTTCAGGAGGCTGGAGTCAGCTCGCCCAGGCTGTTGCTGGAGAGGAGCTGCTGCTTTGGATGGGTCTTGATCTGGGCCAGTTCATGCGCTACTTATAACTCTCAGTTGCTGTGGAATATTACATTTCTAGGGATATTACCAGCAAATGTAACCGAGGCACCTCCTCTCTCTGCTCCTGTTCCTCTGCCCTGGTGTCTCAAGGCTTCCCCTGTATTTTTAATTAATGTATGTTTTCTGTCTTGTGGCTTTTCTCATTTATCATGTTTGCAAAAATCGTGAAACTCTTAAACCACATTGCCTCAACAGAATTAATGTACGTGCATTTTATCAAATCTATCATTTCCAGACTCCTGCTGTATTTAGAGGCCACACGTGATGTATTAGCAAAAAAGATGAGAATACCTTTCCTCAGCTGCCTCTTCTGCTCCCCTCTTACTGATTTTGTTAAAATTCTGATTAATCTTGCTGTCTATCCATGTGACTAATCTTTGCATTATGCTCAGTGCTTGATTTCATCAGCATTTCACAATGACTGCCATACTTTAATTAACTATCGACAGAAAATGTAACTTTCCCCATCTGTCTCTTTAGGTTCCCTTGTTCGATGAGGTGTGGTGGGCTGCAGTGCTCTATAAAAAGAAACACAGTGGTTTTTCACTTCTTCCTAGACAAAATCTCTTGTGTTGAACTTTAGTCTCATCGTTTTTTGTTCTGCTCACAGTAAACCTAAGAAGCAAGGTCTGAATAATGGTGGCTTTGAATGTATTTGGGGGTTATTATCCAATATAGAATCACAGACTGGTTTGGGTTGGAAGGGACCTTAAAGATCATCCAGTCCCAACCCCCTGCCCCAGGCAGGGCCCTTCCACCAGCCCAGGTTGCCCAAAGCCCCGTCCAACCTGGCCTTGAACCCTTCCAGGGAGGGGGCAGCCACAGCTTCTCTGGGCAGCCTGTGCCAGGGCCTCACCCCCCTCACAGGGAACAATTTCTGCCTTAGATTTCATCTGAATCTCCCCTCTGTCAGTTAAAAACTGTTCCCCTCATCCTATCCCTGCTCTCTCTGATGACGAGTCCCTCCCCCCGTTCCTGCAGCCCCTTTCAGCCCTGGGGGGCTGCTCTAAGGTCTCCCTGGAGCCTTCTCTCCTCCAGCTGAACCCCCCAACTCTCCCAGCCTGTCCTCACAGGGGGGCTCCAGCCCCCCCAGCATCTCCGTGGCTCCTCTGGCCCCGCTGGAGCAGGTCCGTGTCCTTCTGCTGTTGGTGCCCCCGAGCTGGACCCAGCCCTGCAGGGGGGTCTCCCAGAGCGGAGCAGAGGGGGAGAATCCCCCCCTGGCCCTGCTGCCCCCCCTGCTCTGGGTGCAGCCCAGCACACGGGGCCTTTCTGGGCTGCCAGCGCACGGTGCTGGCTCACAGGCAGTTTGCACCCCCAGCCCCCCAAGTCCTTCTCCTTGGGGCTGCTCTCCAGCCCCTCCTGGCCCAGCCTGGATTTGTGCCTGGGATTGCCCCGACCCCTGGGCAGGACCTTGCCCTCGGCCTTGTTGCCCTCGCTGAGGTTCAGAGGGTCCCCCCTCTCCAGCCTGCCCAGGTCCCTCGGGATGGATCCCTTCCCTCCAGCGTGTCACCGCCCCACACAGCTCGGGGTCGGGGGGAACGGGCTGAGGGTGGGCTCAGCCCCACTGTCCATGTCCCCAACAAAGATGTTCAACAGCGCCGGTGCCAACCCCGACCCCTGAGGACACCCCTCGTCACTGCTCTCCACTTGGACATCGAGCCACTGACCACAGCTGTGAGTGTGACCTCCCAGCCAACTCCTTACCATGAGTGCTCCATCCATCAAACCCACGTCTCTCCAATTTAGAGACAGAGATGTGGAGACAAACACTTTGTACAAGTCCAGGTTGATGATGTCAGTGGCTCTTCCCTTATCCATCAGCGCTATAACCCCGTCATAGAGGCCACCAAATTCATCAGGCATGCTTTGCCCTGGGTGAAGCCGTGTTGGCTCTCACCAGCCCCCTCCTTATTTTCCACAGGCACAGTTTCCAGGAGGATCCACTCCATGATCTTGCCAAGCACAGAGGTGAGACTGTCTGACCTGTAGTTCTCTGGTTCTTATTTTTTTTCCCTTTTTAAAAATAGAGGATTTGTTTCCCCTTTTCCAGTCAGTGGGAGCTTCACCAAATCACCACAACTTCTCAAATACGGTGGATAATGGTTGAGCCACTTCATCCACGAGTTCCCTCAAGACCTGGGGATGCATCTCATCAAGTCCCGTGGACTTGTGCACCTTCAGGTGGTCTTGAACCTGATAACCCCTCAGTCACCTTTTCAAATTACAGAACCCACATCTTCCAGTTTTTCCCTGAAGACCATGAGATTCTGACCCTGGGGCTTTTCTCTGGGTCTCCTGGATGGGCAATTCCTGTTTTCTGGTTTGTTACCTGTTTACTTCTGCTTTTCTAACTAGAAAAGGCAGGATTTTTATTTATTTTTTTTTTTTTTTCTCCAGGGAGCTTTTCCTTGGAAAAGTTGATCTGATGAAACTACATCAACTCTGACGCAGTTTAGATTAGGCAGATTCCTGGAGGATAGAGCAGCTTTGCTGAACAGTGGCAGGCACCGCAGAAAAGCCCCATGGCCAGGACCAGTGTGGAGGCTCCAACTTCACCCTCCTGCCTGGCAGCTCCCTGCCAGGACACTGTGATGTCTGTCATCTCATACCGCTCATTTTGGGCGAGATCTCCTCTTTATCCCAGCGTAGTCAAAATTCTTATTTTTCCTGACAAGGACTGGTGTTTTGTTTGTGTTTTCTACAGCTGTGTCATCGTGCTAATGCCAGCTCTTGAGGCAGTCTGAATGCACTTCTATTTATAGGAACTTGGTATTTTTACCCTAGACTTGCAAGTTTATATTATATTTATTTATATTATATTTATTATATTATGTTTATGACATAAACCGAAACAATTTTCTGCAGGTATGCTGCGCGCACTCATTGGGTGTGTCCTCACTGGCAGCTTTCAACTTGTACGGAAAGATCTGGGGGAGCCAGAATTACCAAGACAGGAAAAAGATATCTGGAAAGTACTGAGAAGTTAAAGTTCTCCAAACCCCTTTGAGAATGTCATTTTTAAATTGAAGATGGGAGAACCCACTGACTTCTTTCGGAGAAGTGGCATTAGGATTTTTTTTTCCTGTCGTCTTGCCACCTATAACGTAAAGTGCTCAGGGAATTTGAATTTGGATAGTGGTTTAATGCAGAATAAGATGCTTTAGTTTATGGACAAGTACCTCATGAGAAATATTGTTGGGATTTTTTTTTGAAATTGTGTTCTCTGACATGGATATGTGAAGTGACACAAAAATAGAACTATGAAGTAAGTTACATAGTGTCTCTTACCTGAGATTCAGAGACACCACAAATCACCACGGTAAGGGGAAAGCATTTATTATATCTGCTCTGGAAACTATACCATGGGGTAGAGATACCTAAATTGAGGGTATATGAGGTGGCTGGGTACTAGACAAGAGCAGAATAAACCTCTGTGTGGTTTTTCCTACTTCTTGGCAGAATAAATTAGCCCAGCAAATCCGAAGCATGTGGATATGAAGAGATCGTTGAGGGGAAAGTCATCGTTCATTTTTCTGGTTTGGGATTTTAAACATTCTCTCTGTCTGCAGTCACATTCCCATATTCTTTCAGTTAAGCTTATAAACCCATCTGACCTGGGAAAAATGTGAAAAACGGTAAGAGGATAAAACAGGGTGTTTATCCTCTGCACACTGTTTAAAAATCTTTGTTTTTTCCAACTTTTGATTGCATTTTCTAGTGAATGAGAAAAGTGAAAATCAAAGGAAAAGGTAAAAAAACCCCAAAACGCGGGTTTAAACATTCCAAAAGAGAAAAAAAGGAAGAGCCATTTTAAAAAAGCTGAAATCTACAAAAAATTATCCTGAAGCTTAACAACAATTTTCACTTCAAAATTTCGGTGGAAAACTTTTTAAAAATGCCTGAAAGGATTGAAAATTGCTAAGCTGTGGCTGCTGCTTCTGGCTAAGAGGCAGCTGTGACAAAGCTCTTGTTGCAGATCAGAACACATTTCATTGTGTTATCCTGCAGGTTGTCTGAACAGGAGCCAGAGTGTGCCCAGGGGGCCAAGGAGGGCAACGGCATCCTGGCTGGTGTCAGCACTGGCG